GCGTTGTTTACAGGTTGGGGAGATTGGGTTTTGAATTCTTTACGAAATTTCAGGTTGTTGATGGATTGTGGCACTCGCGCGCGGCAGCGCGCGCGCGCGTGCACTTCGTGTGCGCGCGTGTTTTTGTATGCAATGGGTTTTTGACAAAAATCTTGACGAAGGGCCCAATCGTATGCAGCTGTGAATGCTGCGAGGGAAGTGAGACGAAGGAGGGGGCGCGCAAACTCCGACTAGCGCGCGCGGTATAGCCTTCTGCCACGAAGCGTGTGAAGGGTGTGCCGACATGCGTCAGGAGGACTCGTGCGAACGTCGCCACTGGGGCCATCCAGGGAACTCCCTATGGGGCCACGAAACGTGTGAGATGCCGAAGCGTGTGACGTGCGAGCTGAAATGGGGCGGCGGCGCCATGCGGACGCTCCCAGTAGGGACTTCGGTGGAGCTCCCTATGGTGCCACGAAGCGTGTGAGGGGTGTGCCAAAATGAAGCGGCGGCGCCACGCGGACCCTCCCGCTGGGGCCTTCGGTGGAGCTCCCTCTGGGGCCACGAACCGCGTGAGGGGCATGCCGAAATGGGGCAGCGGTGCCATGCAGACGCCCCCACTGGAGCTTTCGGTGGAGCTCCCTACGGGGGCCGCGAGCAGCGGCGGTGCCGTGCGGACGCTCCCGACTGGGCCTTCGGCGGAGCTCCCTGTGAGAGCACGCGCCGTGTGAGGGGCGTGTAAAAATGAGGCGGCGGTGCACTGCGGGCGCTCCCGCTGGGGCCTTCGGTGGAGCTCCCCATGGGGCCACGAGCCGCGTGATGGGGTGTGCCAAAAATGAGGCGGCAGTGCCATGCATGCGGACGTTCCCGCTGGGGCCTTCGGTGGAGCTTCCTATGGGGCCATGAACCGTGGGAGGGATGTGCCAAAATGGGGCGGCGATGCCGTGCGGACGCTCCCGCTGGGGCCTTCGGTGGAGCTGCCTATGGGTCCACGAACCGCATGAGGGGCCTGCCGAAATGAGGCGGCGGTGCCATGCGGACGCTCCCGCTGGGGCCTTCGGTGGAGCTCCCTATGGGGTCGCGACCCGTCTGAGGGTTGTGCCAAAATGAGGCGGCTGCGCCATGCGGACGCTCCCGCTGGCGCCATCGGTGGAGTTCCTTATGGGGCCGCGAACCGCAGGAGGGGTCTTCCAAAATGAGGCGGCGGTGCCATGCGGGCGCTCCCGCTGGGGCATTCGGTGGAGCTCCCTATGGGGTCACGAGCCGTGTGAGTGGTGTGCCATGCGGACGTTCCCGCTGGGGCCTTCGGTGGAGATGCCTATGGGGCCGCGAACCGCGTGAGGGATGTGCCAAAGTGGGGCGGCGGTCTTCGAGCTCCCCTCGCTCGAGAATGGAGTCATCGAGAGCACAAGAACCCCTAGCCCTAATCACACGATGAAGACGTGGCCTCACTGAGGTCCCCGTCTTTGCATCAGGGCTAGGAATTATGGGCGGCGTGGTTAGGTACATCTGCAGGAAAGACCCCCTCTGTCCCTAGTGTTTTTGGTCCTCCTAACTCAGGTCCCCTCGCAAAGGCTTGGAGGTTTTTTTGGTGAATCGGGGAGGAGCCACGCAGGCACAGATCTGCGGAGGCCCGCGCGGACGTCTCCGAGCGGCGGTGGGCCCCCTCCTGGGCGGTGCCGGCGGCGCCGACCCCGGCGCGCTGAGCGGCTGATGTGGTGCAGCTCTTCCCTATTGGAGAGACTTGACGGCCGGTGCCGCCGACCCTGAATCTGGACTCCCGAAATGAGTACGGAAAGAATGGGTACAATGCCCAACAGCAGTTCCTGTTCATTTTGAACAGGACTCGCTGTCCGCGCCGCCGCGGCCTGTGTCCATCCGAGACAGAAGGCCGCCTGCCCAACAGCGGCCGCTGTTGGTTTGGGACAACAATGTATCGTTGTTGGGCATTGTACCCATTCTTTCCGTACCCATTTCGGGTGTCCAAACATAACGACGACGACGACGACGACGACGACGACGACGACGACGACGACGACGACGACGACGACAACGGGCGTCCAAACATAACGACGACGACGACGACGACGACGACGACGACGACGACGACGACGACGACGACGATGACGTGGGTCAGAGTCCTCAGGGGTGCTGCTGGAGTTCACTCGTGGCGCTCTCGGGTGCCTCCGGTGCGTACTTTTGGTGGCCTCTCGGGGGCCTCTTGGGGACCTGCTGGGAGGCTCCTGGGGGCCTCTTGGGGTTTCCCGGCCCATCTAGGGGGTTTCCTGGGGGCGTTTGGGGGGCTTCTTGGCGCTTCCTGGGGGCCTCTCAAGCCGAGGGCTCGAAATGTCTGCTCGGGGCCCCCGTCTGGGCACTGTCTTGGAGCCGTCTTTGGGGCCTCTTGGGCCGTCTTGGAGGCCTCTTGGGCCGTCTTGGAGGTCTCTTGGATCTTTTTGGTGCCCTCTCGGAGGCCTCTTGGGACACCTTGGGGCGAGTTTGTGGCCTCTTTGGGCCGTCGTGGAGTGTCGGGAGGCCGAACATGCAAGAATCCCCAAATCTATCAAACAAAAACCTTTTGGACAATCAATAACCTTTGCCTCCTGGGGCCCTCTTGGGAGCGCCATTGGAGGCCTCTTGGGGCGTCTTGGAAGCCTCTTGGGCCGTCTGGAGGCTACTCCGGCGTCGTGGACCGATGGCTCGGCGATTCGGGACCCTCTTGGTTCGTCTTGGGTCGGGGGTGGACAGAACCCCCAACAGTGACACGTCGATTAGTGAATTGTCTCGAGAGGGCGCCGTGGCCGTTATTTTCCAGGCTTGCGCCCGCCAGGTTTGGGCCTCAGGTCGTTTTCACTAAACCACGTTCTACTAAAGGGGGGTCTGTCCATCCCCGATTGGGGGCCTCTTGGGGCAGTCTTGGTCCGTCTTGGGGGATCTGGGGCTTTGGGTCCCCCGGGGTGGGCGGGGGGGGGGGCACTCTGACGCAGGACCCCCACCCCATGGGTCTCCCGCGGGACCCTCCCCCCCGGGGTCTCCCCCGGGAATGCCCCCCGGGACACCCCCCCCTTCAGGAGGGGAAAAAACACACAGACACAATTAATCGTCGATTCCAAGGAAAATATAGGAAAATATGGGAAGTGGGGGGGAAGACAAAAACCCAGAAAATATGGGAACATATGGGGCATCATTTTATTTGTGTGTATTTATTTGTGTGTCCTGGGGCCCCTTCACCCCTCCCCGGCGGGGAAGGGATCGAGGGAAGGGGCTTCCCTTCGAATGAATTTTACGACGTTCTTCATCGTCGTTCGGGCTGACACGCTTGACGAGAAGGGCCCAGGGTAAGAGAGAAGAGAGGCAGCGGCTGGCACGTTGCAGAATGAGACCCGGGAGAAAGCTTGGAAAGGCGACGGCGACGACGACGACGAGGAGACGACGAATGAAAGAGCTTCTTCCACACGCCGACAGGGTCGCCGGATTCTACAGTGGAAGCCCATGCCAAGAAACACCTCGCTTGCAGAGTGCCCTGGGTTTCTTGGGTTCCGACGGCTTTGCGACGGAAAGCGTGACGTTCTCATACCAGAAATCAATGCACGTCTTGGGGTCTCATGGTTGGGTTTCTTGTGGAAGGTGTCTTGTGGTCGAGTTCCTACTGTACTCATAACCGTTCGCTCCTGCTCCTCCTGCTGCTGCTCCTGGTTCCTCCATGCCGACCCCTCTCGGAATTAGGGAGGGACGTCTTGAGCCGACTGGCGGGGGGCCTCCCGCCAAAGTCTGGTGGCGGTTTCCCAAAGGGTGCCCACTTTTGAAGCTGTACCTCACGTGCGCACAGATGAATCCGCCGAATGGGCCTGTTAGAATGCTCGTCTTTTGTCTGGGAGGTTGTTTAGGGTCTCTAGGCCCGACCCCTCCCCCCTACTCGCGCGCGTGGTCCGAAAACTGCGCCCACTGAATTTGCTCTCCGGCGTTCTCGTCGGCCTCCAGGCGGCCAAGGTGGCCTCACATACGGCTTCCAAGGCCGCTAGGATGACATCAGACGGCCCAAGATGAACCAAGACGGCAGAAGCCTTCAAGACTGCCCAAGGGGCTCCCAAGACAGCCCAAGAGGGCTCCAAGAGGCCCTCCAGGAGTATTGTCATTGACGGATGTTGATGTTCTCGTTTGTTTCAGTTTCCGACCGCCCAGGACGGCCCAAAAGTTCTCCAAGATAGCTCCAAGACAGCCCAAGAGATCAGCAAAAGGGCCCCAAGACGGCCGAAGAGGATCCCGAGATTGCCCAAGAAAGGTCCAAGAGGGCCTCACGACGAACCCAAAGTCCCAAAGTGCTCCAAGAGGGCATCAAGACAGCTAAGAGAGTCCGATAGCTTTCAGGCCTCCGAAGTCTTCAGACGGGCCAAGAGCTTTCTAAGACGAGCCAAGCAGGCTAAAAGAGACTCCCGATTCCAACCGCCCCAAGAGGCCCATAGGAGGCCCCCAGCAGGCTACCAGGAGGCCCCCATACGTCGCCGTGACAGAGGTTCCTTCTGACATGCTAAGACCCGATGTCACCGACTAGCGGAAGTCGGGCTGACCCTGGGGTAATTGTTTCGCACGTGACAAACCATTTGTATCACCGGGCCGGGATCTGGGCCAGTCTGGGATAGTTGTTTTCGTGAAACGCAGATGGGGGAATTCCAGACTGGAGTCAAACCTTACATTGGCCGTAAGCGCCAGGGCCCCAAGTGCCTGAGTATCCCGCCGCTGGGTGAAGTCCGACAGGGCTCTTCTTGCCAGGGCTATATAGGGTGATGGGGGGCTGATGCCATTTTGGCACGTCTACGGCCCTTTGCAATTTCAGAGGAACTGTCCTTACGCCGCTTTCGAGCCCCGAAGCGGCCTTCTCCTCCTTGCCGCCTCCCCGAAGAGGCAGCAGGACGAGGGAGGAAAGCCGGGAGGGGGACGGGGCAGGAGGCCTTCCCCGCCGCCGCGGCGAGTCGCACGCCGCCCGCCCATCGCCCTTGCAGCCGCGCCTCCCCCCCAGCCGGGAGGCGCGCGGCGCTGGCTGTGCTGCTGCCGTGGCTGCCCACAGCGGAGGAACTGAGGCGCCTGACCATCGTCAACGGCTGCAACACCGAGCCCATCTGGACCAGCAGTCCCAGCACCTCCCGCTTTGGCTTTGGCTGCGCGGGGAGCGGCAAAAGGAGATAGCGCGAGGGGGCGCCCCTCTAAGAAGCCTGGGGGGCCTCAAGAATGTCCCTCCCTTGGGAGCCCTTCCCAGAAGGCCCCTGCCGTCGATGATGCCCCCCCCCCTTGCCTTCTGAGAAGGCCGCCCCCCCCTCGCGCCACCCCCTTGTGCGCGCCACCAATCATCACTCCCCCCGCCTTTGGGGGAGCCTCCTCCTCCTCCCAGACTCCTGGCGGGCTGGTTGTTCCGTCCCGGCGCCCATCTTTGTGTCGGCATCAGGGCGCCGACCTCGAGCCCCGTGGCCGCCAGAAGTGGAGCCGGGGAGGGGTCGAGGCCTCTCTGGTCTCCGTGGACCGAAACATGCTTTGCTGTACAGTGCCGTTTTTAATACATGCTCCGCGTGCGGATCATGTATGAAAAATGCAGGGAGTCAGTATCAAAAACAACGATGAAGTCATGCAGAACTTCATTCCTAAATTAGTCATGTATTAAAATCCTATAAGTTTAAGAATCCTATGTGTTAAACACGGCCCTGCAAGTTCTGGTGATTCTCTCCTCTCTGCGGGGCGGCCTCGCGGGCCCCGTGGTCGCCCTCGGGAGGCCGAAAAGGGCCAAGACGCGGAACGATGGACAGCTTTGGGTGCGGAAGGGGCTCGCTGTTCCGTATAGGTCATGCCGTGGCTGTTCCTCTGGCCTCCCTCGTGCACCCCAGGCGCTGTTGGCGCCAAAAAGGGGGCTTCGTTCCTTCTGTGGCGTTCCTTGTTTCAGGAGCCGGAGGCGAAGTCCCTCCGGGACTTCGCCCCCGGCTCCTGTCCAAGGCGTACCTTTTCCTGTGCAAGCTCTTCAGCACCGCCTGCACCCCGCGCGCCCTCCGGCCGCCTGAGGCCCCGCCAGCCCGCGCCCTGTCTCCCAAATTAGTACTTTGCGCGCCCCGCCTAGCTCTTAACCGGAAGAGGCTCGCTCTCGACCCGCAGACCCCAAAAAAGTTTCAGCAGCCATTCTGCACACGCTTCGAGACTCAGATCCGGGAAGACGTCCTGTGGCGGCCTCGAGTGGGGCAGCGGCGAAGGACCCAGACTCCTGGGCACCGCGGCACAGGGTGCCGCATGCGCCTGTCGCGCGATTCGGGCGTGCGGGTTGGCTCCAGGGCTCTGGAGCCAGTCGCGTGAGAAAGATACAGCCCTTCGCCGCGAAACTACTGGCGGTGATAATCTGCCCATGCCATGTAGCGCCCGCAGGCGCGGATGCGAGTGAAAGGCTGCCCAGGGCTCAAATCGAAGTACCAAGAGTTGTAAGTTGCCGCGGGCGGCGAACCGTTTACGTGCTGATGTTCTTTTGAGCCCTGTGCCCCGCGCCACCAATAGACAGCTGGCGCGCCCCCTCACAAGGCCCCCCCTCGGACAGGTCCCCAGCCGGGCCCTCGGGCGCCCCTCTGGCCCCTCACTGTGCCGAGGGTTCACTTGCCGGGGACCCTGATGGAGAGGAGCAGGACAAGGCGATGAAGGCGACGACCGATGTGATCCCCGATCCAGCCACGGCGCTTCTGATATGGAATTGGTTCGCGTGAGCGGGGCGCTCTCAGTCCGATCATTGTTTTTACTTCTCCCAGATTTCTCACCCGATTCTTCTTCCTGCATCAGCGAGTCCGTAGAGTGTAGGGCGCTAGCAGACGGGAGCAAGCCAAATTGACACTTGCCCAGCCGCCTGCCCGGATGACCTCCAGATCCGTTCCGTGGATCTCCACGACGTTGACGAGTGGCGGCCACGCATCATCGCAGGATGAGACGCTTGATCCATAGAGTCAGATGGCATACGTACGGAGAGTCGGTGAAGACGTGACTTCGGTGCCCACCACACGCCAAGCCGTCCAAGTGCTGCTACATACGTACACTTCCTGCTACATACGTTTTCATTTGTGTGCCACGACCCGTCCTGCTGCCGAGGGCGGACTGTGTCCCCACGCGGCACACCTCCCCAGGCATCCGACGGTTTGATCTGCTGTCAATGCGCGGCCCCGGAGGTCCCGACCCCTCCCCAGGGCCAGGTTTGGCCCCAGGGCCGGATAACTGGCCCCAGGGGCCCAAATCGAGGGACGACGCCCAGATTTGAAAACAGATACCGTCGGAGAGTTGGGTTTCGTGGCTCGAGTCATCCAGGTCACCCCAGGGGCGAGGAGATGAACCGGCATCCTTCAAGGGCCTGCGCTGAGATCCGACGCTGCGAAAACAATAAAGCAACGTCAGAAACCTCGACCGGTGCCCTGGACCCCATGTTTCTGGTCGGATCGATCTGAAAAGGTCGATCGATCTGTAAGGATCCCAGAGGACAAAGCTTACCTTCTTCTAGAAGACCAAGATCTGGTGCCTATGCGCAATCCCGTTTTCACTTTCTGGCCGCAGGCGTCCATAGACACACTGGATGTCGATACGTCTACAGACGCATTTGTGTGGGATACGTCTATAGACACACCGGGTGTCGTCACGTCTACAGACACGTGTGGGTGGGAAAGGTTCATAAGTAGACACATTAGGTATCGATCCATATATGTATGGCTTGATTCGGATTATCGGCACTCGCTTGTGGGCACGCCTGCTGACATATTGAGTGTTCGTTTGGCTATCGACATATGTGAGTGGGGTGGGATACGTCTATAAACACATTGCACGTTTCGGAGGGAAACGTCTACAGACTCTTTGGGTGTCGTTACGTATGTCGACGCATTTGGGGTGGGTGCGTCTCTAGACAACGCGGCCGTTGCGTTCGGGACAGTTCAAGGTCGGAGAAAGGATAGTTTCGTCTACGGGATGTTCCCGTTCTCGAAATGGCCTCCCATGGTACTCCAAATAGTTTTCTAAAGGGCCCCTGCATTTTTCCGAGCCAGTTGAACTGTGAGGGTTCCATTGCCCCGAACCGGACAGACTTGCCCGTTGTGAGAAAAGTGGCGCCAGGATCTTCGGGGAACGCGACCCGCAAAAGTTGGGCGAGCCAGGGCAATATCATTGCACACGCCGCCCCTGCCGAGGATCGCGCACCTCGCCAATACGGGCGTGGGCCCGGGGGCACAGAACTCGAAGGCCGCCCCCCCCCGCGTCTGGCAGAGACAGAGGAAGGGGAGGAGGGGAAGGAGGAGGGAGTAGGAGGAGGAGGGAGGAGGAGGGAGGAGAAGGGAGGAGGAGGAGGAGGAGGTCGGTCGGACCCGGCATTGCAGCAGTCTGAACGCCGCCGTGCTGAAGGCTCTCGCCCCGAGAGCTTGTTTCAGCCACCACCTCCCCCAGCGAAGGGAGGCCCAGCCCCGAGCCCCGGGCGGCCAGGCGCACCGAGCCGACACGGCGGCGGCTGGCGCGGAGCGTCAGAAACGACAGTGCGGAGAGTGAGGGAATTGTGCAGTCGGATTCGGGAGGAGGTGAAGGGGGAAGGCCCGCTCATCACGAAATAGGCTACTGATGAGCATTGGGACCACGGTGGGCGACGAATCGTGATCCGGGTTGATAACCGAACCGTTGCCGATTTGGTCAACGGACACGCGGTGCTGACAGATGACTCATACCGTCCGGCTTTTGTGCGGACTCTACGCAACCTGGCTGCTCTCTCAGGGCGGGGTTGGGGGCCTCAAACCACGACAGCCAACATCGTGCAGTGGCAGCCGCGCCGTCACAACAATTTAGCCGACCACATTGCTAACCACGTCCTCGAGAGCAAGGTCTCGTGGTCCTGGCAGGAGGTTTCGTCCGTCCAGAGCAACCCATCGCGTCTGATGTTCTGCTGCGACGGCGGGTTCTCGTCTGGCATCGGAGCCTCTGCCTACGTTCTCCTGGACATGAATGACGAGAGCGGCGCCCTAATGGCTACCGGGGGCGCATACCTCCAAAGCTGCAAGAGCGCCTTCGAGGCCGAGGTCGTCGCCTTGGACACGGGTCTGAGAGCTCTTCTGAACGCCTTCTCTTCCTCCTCTTCTGCCGGCCCTCTCCTCCCCTCCCCTTGTGGTTCCAACAGTTTTACATAGCACACAGCGCCGCCAATCTGTCTCCGGAGAGGTATGGCACAGGCAGTCTATGGACTCGAGCCGAAATCTGAAATAAAGAAAGGAGCGCTTATCATCGATGCGCGCGGCAGGGCAGCAAAACTATGCAGCAGATCTGACGCGCTTGCTCGTCTCGTCTCAACGCTTCCTCACTCCATCTTCGGTGACTCCTGGGGTGCACGCATTCGTCGGCAACGTATCGCTCATCGTGCTGCTGGTGTCCGTCGTGCTGGCCTTCGTCATGCTGTCGTCGCTCTGGGAGGTGTAACAGCACGAGCCAGCCGCAGCTAAACGAGGAGGAGGAGGAGGAGGAAGAGAGGGAGGAGGAGAAGGAAGGAGGGATGAGGGAGGAGAGGAGGAGGAGGAGGAGGAGGAGGAGGAGGAGGAGGAGATGGTGGAGGAGTGGGGAGGAAAAGGAAAAGGAGAAGGGAGGAAAAGAGAGGAGGAGGAGGTGGTGGAGGAGTGGGGAGGAAAAGGAAAAGGGGAAGGGAGGAAAAGGGAGGAGGAGGACACAGTTTGTACCTCCTGTGGACAACAGGTCTGTGCAGACTGACGGGGGACCCCGTGGAAACAGGTGTCAACAGCAACATGGTACATCGAAACCCATATGCAGCTACCGAGTGGGATCGTGTCGTATTCCATTTGCGTGGCGAAACGATTTACCAACACCAATATATTAGTTCATTGTGGAGGCCATCGTTGTGGAAGAAGCCGTGGACTTGGTGAGCTTCTGAGAACATGATCAACATGTAAGAGTTCTCGCAACCTCACGGCGTCACTAACAGGCCAGCGCAATCGTGCTTCATGTCTCCGGGAAGAGGCTGACAAGGGGAGGAGGAGGAAGGAGGAGGAGGAGGAGGAGGAGGAGGAGGGAGGAGAAGGAGGAGGGAGGAAAAGGAGGAGGAAGAGGAGGAGGAGGAGGGATCAGGAGGAGGAGGATGAGGAGCAGAGGGCGAGGAGGAGGAGAAAGAGGAGGAGAAAGAAGAGGGAGATGAGGAAGAGGGGAGGGAAAGAGAGAGAGAGAGAGAAAGGTAGGAGGAGAGGGAGTGGGAGGAGGAGAGGGAGAGGGACACGCGAGGAGGAGAGGGAGAGGGAGAGGAGAGGAGGCTGAGGAAGGTGAAGGGGGAGGAGGGGGAGGAGGAGGGAGGAGAAGTCCGAGGCGGACTAATCCTGCTCCGGAGCCGGAACGATTTGGGAGGCCTCCCAGGACCTGCGTCTCCTCCCTACGTCGGGTGCGTGTCGCGGCGTCGCGACAGTGGCCCCCCGCTCGGAAGCAGTTTCTCACCCTTGGTCCCTGGGACGTCGCGTAATGGGGGGCAGTAAACGAGGCGTTCCACAAAGGGCCTTGCCTTCGATGGTTGAAGGAGCTGTCATCGCTTCCGCGGCGGAAGGTCGGCGGAAGGCGGCGGAGGTAAAATTGCGGCGGCTCCGCCGGCGGAAGCTCGGCGGAAGCTGGCGGAATCAAAGGTCGACCTTCCAAGAGATGACCACCAATTTGGGTTCAGGGCTTCCAGACTGCGCCGAATCAGAGGGGGGGCAGCAAGGGGCTGCCGAAGAGGGGTCCTGCGGGGCCCCCGAAGGAGTCTTTTGAGGCCCCACGTGGGGGCCTGTGTGGCCCGAGGAGTGCACCCACCGTTCTCTCCCCCCCACTTATCGCCTCCCATTGAGCGACTCTCGACGCCCCCAGTCCTCGAGTCCCCCCTTTCGGAAGCGAGCCTCGGGAGATCTTCGCGAGAACGATGTTTTGGCCATTGTAAGCCACGGTTGAAGGGCAACGCGCTGGAGTAAGCTGGAGTGCACCAAGGATTAGGCTCGATCAAGCAGGATTATGCCGGAGCAGGCGGGAGCACGGCGGGGGCATTGGTTAAGGAACGTGCCCGGGAGGCTTCAGACCCTGGAGGATTCCTTATCTGATGAAGGCGGCGGTGATATCAGTGGCCGAGCCTCGATTGGAATTCCACTGGCCTCCAGACCCTGGATTCCTTACCTAAGGGTTCCTTATCCAACGCCCCCACAATATCCTGTATTGAAACAGTTTTCAACAACGCAGCCCAACCCTCCAAGGGATCAGGCTGCCTGGAAGAGAAGGGGAGCTCCGGGATTTGCCCACAGAGGGCGATCCAGAGGCACCCCCTATCGAGGTGTCATGACCCCGAGTTTGACCCGAGTGTGTTTCTTTAGACGAAAGTCCTACAAAGTCGGGGATGGGAGTCGCCAGACCCCCCCGTTACCGCCGCAGAATACGTTCCAGATTGAACGCCTCATGTGATCGTTCAAGGTTGAGCGATCCGCGCAGTGTCTGAAACCAGCGCGCCTAGTCGGAGCGGTATGAGCATGCCGTACGGGCATCGGAGATGTTGGAAGGACCCAGGTGCCCGTTCGTCGCGAAAATTGACGGCGGAAGGTTTCTGACGATTTGATTTTCTTCTGGCAGCACCCACGGGCTCCCCGGATTGTCAAACACCTTCTTCGGGGTCAGCAATTGGCCCTGGGGAAGGGGCCGAGAGCTCTGGTACCCACATTGTGGACTGAACTTTTGCAGGCACCTGGAGTCTGAGGAGGAGGAGGAAGAGGAGGAGGAGGAGGGGGCGGAGGATGGCAGTGCCCCTAAGGGCTCCGATGCCTTCAGTCAGTCAGGAGGGAGGGATCTTCCTTTCCTGCTCCTCGGCAGTATCCGACGATGCGAAAAGTTGCAACACCCCGAACTATCACGACTCGGGCCATAGACCCCAGGTTTCTGCTGCATGAGCCAGACCGGTGTGTCAGGGTCTTGTGGCCCGAGAACGGGCGAAAACGCCCGCCGCGAAGAGTGGAGACGCTCCGAATCTCAGGTCCTGCCCTCCCTCCTCCCCCCTCCTTCTCCCTCTCGTCCTCCGTCGTTGTCGCTGGCGGGCGGCCCCCCTTCCTGCGCTCTCACGCCAGGGGGTGGGGGGGCGGCGGCGCTCGCGCGGGCGCTGCAGGCTGGACACCCTCCGCCCCAGACCGTGGGGCCCACAGGAGGGCCACCCTCGGCGCGAGGCCACTGTGCGAGGAGGGGGGGGCCGGCAGCCTCATCTCCGAGGAGGACGCGGCACCCACACCTGTACCCTTGGCCCGTGTTCCTCGTTTTGGGCCTCCTGGGAGGCCCTCTTCGCCACCGCTGGATTCGCTTCGAAATCCTGGTCAGAACGTACCCCGGGAGAGGTCCGGGGAGTAGTGGTGTCGGTACCTTTTGGTTTCCCCATTACACCGGGCGCGCTAACAGTGAATAGTGGATCAGGGATCCGTGCAGCCGAGCCGCCGCCTTGCCGCCGCGGCGGCTTCCCGAGCTACTCATAGATCGAGGCCGAAGACGTGCACGAGCACTCCGTACCCACACGCGAGGAAGGACGACGGACCCAAGAATTGATACTCGGCGGCGTCGCCCAGCGCGACCCCATTGCGACGTCGACGGCGCTGCAGCCTGGAGCGCCTCCACTGTGGCCTTGCACGGCGCGAAGCCATCCGCATCGACGGCAGCATCACGACGACGTGCCCCGAAGACCATGTCCCAATCGTGCCCGCCGAGTCCGATTGCCTTTGCCGCCTGGTCGAGGCCCTCAAGCAGAGCCGACGGCAGCTCCACGTACTCTTAAGTCGGGCCTGTCCCTCTACAGGAGGACTATCCAAACTTTGTACAGAAATAGTCTGGAGACTATGTTTCGAGTATTTGCTTGACCATTCTGGGGCATTTCTTCAGTATTTCTGTATTCTTCGTCGAACATCCCCCTTGTAAGGGGGGCGCGCCCGACTTAAACGTACAGTGCCGTTTTTGATATATGCTCCGCGTGCGGATCATGTAGTAAACATGCAGGGATCTAGTATGAAAAGCAACGATGATTGCATGCATCGGTTTATTCATACTTTAATCATTACTCAGATCCTATATGGTTTGAAATCCGATGTATTAAAAACTGCCCTGTACTCCTGGACCTCCGCAGCCCCCGCGCACGGCACCTCGGAGAGGAGCCCTCGCCCTGCGCCGCCGACGCCGCGACAAAAGGCCCCGAGCGACGCGTCGACCCGCACCTCGGCCGCGAGCCGCCCCTGGGCCTGGCCAGCGGCGCGCGCCGCGACCACCCGTGGGTACAGCCTCCTCCTCCTCCTCCTCCTCCTCCTCCTCCTCCTCCTCCTCCTCCTCCTCCTCCTCCTCCTCCTCCTTTCCTCTCCTCCTCTCTCCTCCTCCTCCTTCCTCCGTTTTCCTCCTCCTGGTCCTCCCCTCCCCCTCCTCCTCCTCCTCCTCCTCCTCCTCCTCCTCCTCGTCGTCTTTGCTCCCCCCGCCAAGTCGCTGAAATGGGGAACGCTTTGGGTAAGAAAGGGGCTCGATATTCCTATAGGTCCCTCCGTGGCTTTTCCTCTAGCCGTCCTCGTGCACGCAGGCGCTCGCGGGGCCCAAAAAGGGGCTTCGTTCCTTATGTGTCATTCCTTCTCTCTCAGCAGCCCGCCTGTATGCCTCCTAGGCGGCTATCATCACGGGGCCAAGACGCTGCCGCAAGTCAAGCTCCTCCTCGTTCTCCGTGAGGCCGTCAGCCCTTGCCGACGACCGCGACCTCGCTCAGCGGCTGCTCCCTGACGTGGAGCCCGTGCCCGAGCTTGGCCATGATCACCCAGCTGGAGACCGCAGCCTCCTTCTTCGCGAGCTCGCTGACGACTTCGGCATCCGGCTTGCTCTCCAGCCCGCCCTCCGCGAAACCCTTTCCGATGCCCGTAACGCCGTCCAGCAGCTGCTTCCCGACGCTCGAGCCGCCCTTGTCCCTGAGTGGGGCCGTGAACCCCTCGCTCGCCTGCCCCTTGGTGCTGTCAGCGTCCTCGGGGGGACCTTTGACGTCCTCAGCGCCCGGACTTTCCTGACGCGCCTCCAGCTTGGGGACAACGGGGGACTGCAGGGAGCGCCTGGTCGTGCGCAAGCCCACCTGCTCGCACGAGTCGCCCTTGCCACCGCGGCCCTCGCCCTCAGCCAGATCGGCACTTGGCAGCGACTGGACGAGCTGGTGCGACTCCTGGAGCCGCCGTACCGCTCGTCTGGATAGAGGAGGAGGAGGAGGAGGAGGAGGAGGAGAAGGAGGAGGAGGAGGAGGAGGAGGAAGAGGAGGAGGAGGAGGAAGAGGAGGAGGAGGAGGATCGGATCGGATCGGATCGGAAAGGATCGGATCGGATCGGATCGGATAGGATAGGATCGGCAGTCCACGAAAGCTCTCCGGTGAGAAGACAACTGGAGGGGGGAAGTATATTAACTCCAGCCTGAAGGAGGAGGGGGAGGAGGAACATGACGGCGAGAGGAGGGAAATGAGAATGACAGAGGAGGAGGCGGCGGGAGGGATGAGCAGAGTGCAGGGAGGATGGAGAAGGTGGAAGGAGGGAGGGAGGGAGGAGGGAGGCGGGAGAAGGAAGCAGGAGGCAGGGAGGAGGCAGGAGGGAGGAGGAGAGGCAGGGATGAGGAGGAGACAGGGAGGAGGCGGCGACAGGGAGGAGAGGCAGGAGCCCGACGAGCCCTTGCCCCAGATCGAGCCCGGCGCCTCCTTCTCGTTCGGCCCAGACGTGACGGACGGGCTCGAAGGCCGCGGCCGCGCGCCGCTCCGGGTCCTCTGAAGCCCGCCCTGCTCCTCTCGGGGCGAACGTTCGAGAGGACGGCTGGCCTTTTCGGCGGCCGACGCACGGGCGGCGCACGGGCGACGAATGCGCGACGCACCTCTTGTCGCGAAAGGGGAGGGGGTCAGCACGCCAGTCGTCTTACTGGGCCTTAACATTCGGGGGGGGGGTTAGGCTCGGGCGGGAGGGGAACGCATCGGCTCCCAACCGCCTGCTGATCGCCGATGGGGGCCAGATAGCCCGGCCGCTCGGAGCTGCAATCGGGGGCCCATGGCCGACCTGTCGGCGATGCGTCGCCGATTCAGGCTTGATGTTTCACCCCCCGAGCTGGTCCCCCACCCCACCGCTGCCCCTCATCTGGCCCACTCCCGAGGTGGAGAGGGGGGCGGAGGCGGCACCGCGGGTCGGACGAAATGGCGGGGATTTGGGTCGACGAAGCTAGAGTCAAGCAGTGGCGAAGCGTCCTGGCTCGCCTATAGCCCTAGTAAACAATTGTCTAAGAACCTTTTGTGGTTTCCACGAAATTTTCTTGGGACGTGTCTGGCGGAGTCTGTCTTGTTTTATCGCATCGGGCTTTTCTTCTAAGAACATTGTTTTTGTTCTTCGAACATTATTGGGTTCTGAGATCATTTCGTGGTAGGACTATAGAAATGCCGGGACGGTCGGTCCCTGCTCAATAGAGAGCTCTCGAGCTGCAGGTGGGCAGTTTGATTCCTGCCTGGCTTCGGGTCGTTCCGGGTGACTTCGAGGTTCGAGCTTCGGCGGCTCCAGATGACGCAACGCATGCTCAATGCATACGTGCAGACGCGCACGCGTGCACACCTGCAGCAATCCACGCGGCAAGTATTCGCAACCATGCGCTGCATGACGTGGCAGCGGTGCCCTGCACGAGTTGGTTACGAAGCCTGCTACATGCAGCTGGTGCCTTCCAGCCTTGCCGCCCGGCGTTTTCCTTTTGGCTCGTCCGGTGCTGGAAGGTGCCAGGAAAGCCAGCGCTGCGCGAGTTGATTCGCTGCAGCCCTTTCCTACACCCCTTTCGACTGACCCGATCCTTGACAGAGGCTGGCGTGTAGGAAAGGAACCACCTTAATTCATAGGCGTCGCCCTCGCAAATCCGCTCGATCCTTCGGCGGGTTGTGGTTTTCTTCTCCCTCTGTTTGCGGTCGAAACTGGGGGAGCTGCGTTCCCTCCCCCCTCCCCCAAGGGGAACGCCATCGCATCGGCGATTTTTCGACGCGCCGGGGCAGGAGAGGCGGGGATCGTGAAAGGGATGTGTGGAGAACGAAGGCTGCGGCGTGCGGCGGGCCTGCCGGGGGACGTTGAAAATGGGGTGGGGCGAGCGAAGGCCTGCGGAGCTGCGCCCCGTGCTCGTCCCTCGGCGTGGTCCTCCCCCGTGCTGTCCTCCCCCGTGTCCGGGATGGTGGCGGAGGAGGGGGGGGGTTCAGAGCCCCGAGTCATTAGGGGTATTTCGGTTCAGGGCTAACTCGGGTTCGTTTTTCGGGAATCCGAACCCGAGTTACCCTGGGCCCGAGTTACCCCAGAAAATTCGGGCGCCCAAGGGGTCGGCTGCGCGTAAGGGCGACCCTTGGCCAGGGTGGCTGGCCTCTGGTGCGGGCCCGCTGGCTTACCCCCAGCCGTGGCCCGCGCGCATGGACTTGACATTTTCCTGTGGCCCCTCACAGCTGTGCACCGGAGTCCATTTTTGCCATCGCAGCGCGGCAGAGGCGATCCGCACGCGCGTAATAGTGAGCCGGACTCGGGCACGCACTAATTGTTCGGCGGTGGGCGGGGGGGGGCAGAGGTTGAACGCGGCCGCGGAGGGAGAGGGAAAAAGAGGGACCGCATTCACAGCGCGAAGAACTTCGACTGGAGTGGCCGGCGCGGCCAGCCTGTGCTGAAGTAGCCTGGCAGTGGACGCGGGGCGGCATCGCGGCCACACCCAGGGGCTGGCGGGCAGGCTGCAGGCGCAGAAAGCGATGGCAAAGTCCTGGAGGGAGAGCGGCGAGCATGCCCACAGGCGGGCGGCACCCAGGTGTTCGTCAGAAGGCCCGGGGCGGCAGGCTTTGCTGCAGGGGCGGGCCGGCGGTTGCGCCAAGGCCCAAACCCAAATGAGCAGTGCCGCGAGCAGCTCGCGGCAGCAAAATGCTGCAAGAGCCGTGCTGATCTGCTGGAAACCGCGCTGTCGGTCTGCGGCTGCGCTGCCAGGGGCAGCGCAACGCCACCTGCCAGTGACTGCTGAGCTACTGACGCCATCAGCTGAAGGGGCGCAGCACGACGCCACAGCTGGCAGGGGCCACGTCGGCACCCAGCGAAGCTGCCAGGTGCAGGAGAAGGAGGAGGAGGAAAAAGAGGAGGAGGAGGAGGAGGAGGTGGAGGAGGAGGAGGAGGAGGAGGAGGAGGAGGAGAAGGATGGGAGGAGGTCGGAGGAGGAGGAGGAGGGAGGAGGAGGAGGAGGAGGAGGAGAGGAGGAGGAGGAGGAGGAGGAGGAGGAGGAGCAGGAGGAGGAGGAAAAATGACGATCGGAGACGCCTCCTCGGGTGACTCTTTTTCTCTTCGAGGTGTTTTGGCTGAGGCCCACGGGCAGTTAGTGGCCCTCGGGTTGGAGGCAAGTAGCGCGGAGTTCGACGGCGCCAGCTCATCCTGCATGTGTTCGCTGCCGGCTTGGCTCGTGCCTCGCCAGAGCCTGTGATGCAGCCGTGTTTGCCGCGGGGGTCGCGGTCTGCATGTTCGATTCGGGGATGCACGAGTGCTGGCCTGTGGCAGACCCGGAGGACGTCGATCTGGAGCCGCGCAGGGTCGACCTCGGCTCGGTCGCGGAGGCGGCAGGGGGCCGGGCCTTGGCAGCTCGGGAGCCTGCTGCTGGCCCCCCGGCGGCCGCGGGCTTGGCGACGGTGGCCGCGGCGGCGGGTGCCGAGGCGGCCTCGCCCAGCTCGGCGCCCCCAGCGCGACGAGCCACTCGCAAGCGCCCTGCAGCCTTTCAGCCGAGCGCAGAGGCAGCGGTCGGGGGCGCTGTCGGCCGGCTTCTGGGCCCCAGCGCGGAGGATGCCATCGAATCAGGAGAGGCAGGGGCTGCCGCGGCCTTCTGGAGAGAGGTCCGCCCGCGTGCGGCTGCAACCGCGAGCGGCGCGAGCAAGGTGGTGGAACCGCCTCCGCCTGTGTGTGCAAGCAGGCATGCCGTGCACGTTCCGTGACTAGCCAACGGCCACAATCTAATGCAGTGTCAGGTGATCGGCAAGCAGAAGGTATGTCTTGTCAGCACGGCCTGCTTTATGTACTGTCGCCGGCCTAGGTGCGCCCTCCGTGGTCCTGGCCAAGGTTTGCGCAGGTGCTGATGGCCACGTGGCGCAGGGATCTCGTGCGCAGGCGCGGTCAGACTTTGCGAGGCGCGTCCTCCCTGGCAAAGAGAAGCTGCCCATCAGTGACTTGGTGTCTCCCACGGCGGCCGCCAGGGCTGAGTGGGCGCAGGCGTTCGGCATGTTGGATGGTTCCGCAGGGTGCGCCAACGCTCGCGATCCGCCGAACGCGTCGGGCCCCGCGGCTGCCGCGGCAGGGCGCCCAGCCCAGCGGCCCATCCTGCCAGCGGTCGAGGGGGTGCTGGCCGCGCATGGCTTTGTCTCGGCCGGGGGTGGCCCGTGCTCGTGGCCGCCGCGCTGCGTCGGCTAGGGCGGCGAGGGGTGCCCTGCGCCAGGAGCTGGACTTGGCATCGCTCGGACGTGTGCATTTTTTCTTCGGCGGGGACCATCGAGGAGCCAATTTGATCATTTAGCGGAAAACGCACGCACGAAATCGACAAATGCACGGGGAATCGACGTCCGAGCGATGGCGAGTGGACCTCTAGCCCACGGGGCGGTGCGGAGGGCGATGTTTGTCGCTTCCCTGGGGTGCATCCTGGCCTTGCCGTCGTGCGCGGTGCTGCAGTTTTTTGACGGCTCTGTTGAACTCGTGCCAGCAAGTCTTCGGACGCGAGGTAGACAAATAAATGACTGACCGTGCACGCTGTTGCCTGAGTTGGACTTTGCTGCCCTGGCTGCTCTGGGGACCGGGCAGCAGCCTCTGCGCGGCGCGGCCGAGGATCGGGAGGGAACAAAGGCCGGGTCTCACCCGAGGCATGGTTGGGGCGCGAATCCCAGGGAACAATATTCTCTTTGAGTGTGTATGTCACGCCATGCAATCTGGCACGGGCCAAGTGAATCGCCCCCTCCCACCCCCCACCCCACATAGCCTTACGCATAGAGCAGCAGCGCTGTAGCTCGCGCCACCAACAAAACAAGTCGGGGGGGGGATCCGGCGCGCGCGTTGCCGTAGGGCCGGTCTCCAGGCCCCGACGGCCCCGCAGGGATCGGTGCGCAATGTGTCCCGGATGGCTCCAAGAGCCCCTCCAAGGCCGTTCTCTGGGCTCCAAGAGGGCCCCACGAGGGCCCCCTTCCAGAGAGCCCAAATAGGGCCCCACTGCTCTTTCAGAAGAGCCCCGACAGGACCCCCAGAAGCCCAGGGAGGACCCTGGACGTACGCGACGCGAGTGTCCGGGTGGATAACGACTTGCACATTGCGCAGTTCAGGATGCTCAGGCACGCGGCGGCCATGTTTTCATTAGCGAGTCCATGGCAATTTTTTCGGCCAGCCCCACCTGGCCCAGAACCCCACCTCTTAGTCCCTCCCGAGAGGGTGTCGCAGCGGGCGGTGCCCCAGGCCCTGGGGCCAACGGCGGGTGCGCAGCGCGGAGAGGCCAAGCGGCGGAAGGAACAGCAACATCATCCGACTGCAAGTCGCCAGCGCTGAGCAATCGGTCAGGAGGCGCCGACCTGGCGTCGATTAGCGTCGGCTGGTGTCGGTCAGCGTAGATTTGCAAGAGCCAGCAAGATCGCATGGGAGGCTCCGATTCGTTGCCACCGAAGCAGAAGACAGGAGGGCACGGAGCGCGAGAGAGGCAGGGAGAGACGGAGCCGGAACGGCCAGCGCACGCGCACCAGCGTCCGCCGCAATTCGCCTGCCCCCGTCACCCCACCCCTCCCTGCCACCCTCCGCGGTCCACAGCAGCGATGGGAAGCAGGATCGTGCTTCGACAGGGGCCCTGAACGGTGAACGGCAACCGCGGGCCGAACATGTGCACAGTATTTTCGCGTTTTTTCCGCCCACTTTCCATTGCTCCCCAGTAGCGAGCATCCGACGAGGAGGACGACGACGCCCATGGCGACGTTGGCGCCGACGCCGGCGGCGGCTTCGACTCCGACGGCGACCCTGAAATCCGATGTTCTTCTCTTTCCATACCAAGTCCCCGAAAGTCCCGGCCCCTTTCCCGGGGGCCAGTGTTTCGTCCTGAGAAGGTTTTGACAGTCCCAGGGCCCAGGGAAGGCCCCCGAAAGCCGAAAACCTCCTTCATGATCTTGTTGAGGACGCGGGATGTTGAAGCCCTCCGCCGTCCACCCCACCTTCCCTCCCCTCCTTTTTCACCGCGGGGCGATCCCCCGCTTTCTGCCCTCCTGGCGCGCGCTGCGGGGGCGCGGTACTGGCCCAACATAGGAGGAGGAGGAGCAGGCGGAGGAGGAGGAGGACGAGGAGGAGGAGGACGAGGAGGAGGAGGAAGACCAGTTGAAACACAAGAGTCTTCAACGATGTTGGAATAAACCCTTCCTCCAAGTTCCCTCTTCATGGGCCCCTACAACGGCTCATTTCCACTGGGGGAACTGCCTCGTTGGAAGACAACCGTTTGAAGACCCTGAAGCATGCCAACGCATTGTTCTCGGGATTCCAACGCCACGGATCAACCTGACTGTTGCGTTTTGTTGATCTTGAATTGTGCCAGAACAACATCCCTGGGATTTCAACACTGCGAATCAGCGTAACTGTTGCACCCTCAAAATCCAGAATCCTTCCCAAACACCGTTTCTGGTTTGTTGATCATGAGAACCCGCGAACCTGTTTTTTTCAACAAGAAGCAGGAACAACACAACAAACGAATGTGCCCGGCGGCGCTATGGCGAGAGCCACGTGTGGAAGAGGAACCGCCCTCCATGCGTGAAACTCCTGCACATTGTTAAAACGAATGTGCGCGGTGCTAAGGCGGGAGCCACATTTTGAAATCGACCCGCCCTCAATCTGTGAAGCTCTTGCAAATTGTTGAAATGAATGTGCGCGGCGCTAAGGCGAGAGCCACATGTTGAGAACGACCCGCCATCAATCCGTAAGACTCTTTCACATTCGTATGGGCGAATATGCGCAGCGCAGGCGACAGCCACATGTTGAAAACTACCCGCCCTCCATCTGTGAAGCTGTTGTCAAGTTCTAAGCTTCAGGGTCATAAGTGGTGAGGAAGTCTCAGGCGAAACGCCCGGTCCGCCCTGAAAACTGGCCTCGCAGGAGGAGGAGGAGGAGAAGGATGAAGAGGACCGTTCCTCCTGTTCACCACGGGGCGAGCCCCACCTTTGACCCGCCTCGCGCGCGCTGCAGGGGCGCGGTACTGGCCCAAGATGGGCTGCGACGAGAACGGCGACCACTGCTCTCTCGGCGGCAGCGGGGGGCCTTCGCAGGTGCGCCCCGGCCGCGCTGGTGCAGCTGGCGTCGCCGCCACGGCAGGCACACGCGATGATAGATCTTGCCATAAGAAGTTTGGAGGCACAGTCTCCGCCGATCTCTGAGCCTGGCATCGCTCGGACGTGTGCATTTTTTCTTCGGCGAGGGCCATCGAGGAGCATCCTTGATCATTTGGAAAGAAAACACGCACGAAACCGAAAAAAGCACAGGGAATGAACGTCCGAGCGATGGCGAGTAAGGGCCTGAAGGTCCCCCAGAGCTCCTGTGGGTCCAGGGCCCATCGAGGGATCAACCATCTCCGTGGGGCACTTGCTGGCAGGCCGATCTCTTGTTGCATGTGCCTACCGACCCCCTGACCCAGCCGCCATCGATCTACCCTCGCCTGTCCCTCCTCCATCCCCCCCCTCTCCCCCCCCTCTCCCCCATCCGCCGTCCCGCTTCCGAGGTCTTTTTCAGCATTCGGGTGCTGCTGCAGAACCCCGTTTGTCGGGACAGTTGCGATGCGTGTCGGCCGCCGCCTTCGCTCCTGGCATGCTCTGGCTGGCCGCGCTCATGAGGCAGAACCAGTACACCTCCCCGATGCACATACGCGTTGTTTTTCGACGATTGAGGTATTGTGCGCGCGTGGGCCGTGCGCCTTAGATGGAAGACGTCACGTACTTGGCCAAGCACTGCTTGCATTCGGACGCTGGGAACTACGTAGCCTCTGTCGTTGCCCAAGCGATTCCGCCAGGCATCTGGCAGTCACCAGATTTCGCGCCTGAGGCCCCTGCGGTGCAGTTACGGCTCTCGGTGTCGTCGCGCCCGCGGTCGAAGTGGCAGTGCCCAAGGAGATGGGCAAGCACGCAGCTCCTCTGGAAGCTGCTGACATCGTGTCTGGTGGAGCGGAAGTGGGCTTGCGCCCTGCCGCAACAGCCCCACTTCACCCGACGTGCCGCAGCCGCCGCCGACAATTTCGGCACGTTCTGGAGAGCGTCACAGGATCTGCCAGCGAAGGATCCCTGACATTCTCGCGCAGTACGACTTCGAATCTTTGTTCAGGATCGACTCTTGGGTGATCAAGCACCAGGGCCCGGACGCCATGTTTTATCCCAAGGTGTGCAAGAAGTGCGGTGTTCAGTCGTCTCCTCTCCATGAGGGTCGCCCTCCTGATTAGACCTGTCTTGCCTTTCAGTTTAGAGTGGCTGGGGTGCGCGTAACGTTTGTGCCGGCTCCCTCGTTGTGGCACGACCCCATTCGCTCTCCACGCGGACGCATCATGCTTGCGCCCCTCGCCCGGCACCTCCCAGCAGGCACTTTTTATGATGCCTTGACCCCGCCCCAGGGGCCTTCCAGTGTCAATCGGAGCACGGCCTAGCGCTCATGCCCCCCGCCCGACGAAGACGACTCCCCCCCTCAGCCCCCCTCCTCCCAAAAGCCAGTATGTACTTCCTTCTCTCCACTTTCCGCCCTTAACGTGTCTTTCCCGCCTTTCCCCTCGCCCTCCTTTCGCTCCCCGTTTGTCCCTTGTCTTGGCTCGCTGCTGCCTCAGCCGCGTGGCCAGAATTTGGGGCATGCCAGCCCGTCGGTTTTGCGGGTTCCTCTTCCTCCTCCTCCTCCTCCTCCTCCTCCTCCTCTTTTTCCTCCTCCTCCTCCTCCTCCTCCTGCTCCTCCTCCTCCTCCCCTCCTCTTCGCATCATGGCAGCGCTGCTCACGATCTCGCGCAGGGTTTTTCACAACTGCACGAGATCTCGCGGAACTCACGGGCGTTACCGTCACCGTTTTCTATTACCCGCAGCGGCGCCCCTCATCAAGGTCACGCAGACAGCAGACCAGGACTACGCAACGGATTGCGAAGCGCAGGGAAAGCACCACGACAACGGGCCACCATGGCTCCATATCTTCATGGCGTTGGCGCAACACTTCGTCGACAGCATGGGGCACAGGCGCTGGCAATACCCAAGCACTACTGGTCACAGACGATCAAGGAGGACAGCGGAGACGTGGAGGGTTTTGGCCAAACATGTTTGCTACCGTCGCATTCGAGCATGCCGCTTCGACAAAAAGGCGGGCAAGAAGGAATCAGACACGTTCAAGCTGCAGTTCACGAGGAGCCCATATATTCAGAGCCAAATGGTGACATTGGACAGCCAGCTGGTGATGACAGCGCTCGCGGCCCTCCAAGCATGCACCAGGAAGGAAGAAGGCAAGATCAAAACAGGAGCCGCCCCGAAGGCGGGTCTGGAACGAAATGCAGAGCGCCTTCTCCAGAAGTTCGAAATGGCCTGAGGCAGTATTCAGAAGCACTTGAACGACTGAGATTGAGTTCGTATAATTTGATTGATATCTTACAGATGTTGAATTCTGGTGGAGAGTCCCAACTCGCCTGGGAGTGCGTTCGTCTGACTTGAGCGATCTCCTACATAGTTTATTTTGCCGGTGGAGAGTCCCCAACACCACGAGCTGGTGCGACACCCCGCGCACCCAGTTCGGCCAGTGCTGGAACTTATGATGCCAGGCCGCCGCCGTCGAGGACAAGGCAGCCTGCTCGTTTGATATCGATTCAGAATTCATTTCGAATGCTGGACCTGGCTCAGCGAGGCCACGTCGGGCACTCCCAGCTTGAATCCCTCCGCGGAAAGCCCGAGGGCCCCATCTTGCAGTACCGATCGGGCGAAGTCACTTTTGAGGCCTATCGTGTCGAGCCCGTAGATATTTCGAATGCCAGTGGCGCCGGCTCTTAGGAGAGCCGCATAGGTCAGGACGGAGTCTACCGATCTTGCTTCCTCCTCGTCCGCTGCTGATGCGCATGCCTCAAGTGCGCTGCTTGCTCCTCTTCCCCCTCCTCCGATACCTTCCCAGTTTGAAACATGTCCCTATCCCTATGTTTGGCATCACCTCACCTCGATGCCGATCTCAGGGATCCCCTCAGTTGTTGAGGGCCTGTCCCTAAGATTGTCCTCGCTTTCTGCTCGCCCATGTTGGGGATAGGGATGCGTTTGAGGCTGGTGAATGCCACCGTCCGAGCCCCGGCAGCCCGAAGCCGACCAGGCAGAGCTTCGCGCTTCGCGCCACGGCTTCCCCTCTCGCTGCCTGCCTCTCTCCTCCGCTCCCTCCTTCCCTCCCGCGGCGGCTGCTGCTGCCTGCTCTCGTCCTTCTCCTGGCCTCGTGCGTCCTGGCATCGCTCGGGCGTGTGCATTTTTTCTCGGCGGGGGCCATCGAGGAGCATCGTGGATCATTTGGCGAAACAACCACGCACGAAGCCGAAAAAAACACAGGGAATGGACGTCCGAGCGATAGCCGTGTGTGTGTGTGTGCGTGTGTGCGTGTGTGTGTGTGTGTGTGTGTGTGTGTGTGTGTGCGTGCGTGCGTGCGTGCGTGCGTGCGTGCGTGCGTGCGTGCGTGCGTGTGTGTGTGTGTGTGTGTGTGTGTGTGTGTGTGTGCGTGTGTGTGTGTGTGTGTGTGCGTGTGTGCGTGTGTGTGTGTGTGTGTGTGTGTGTGTGTGTGTGTGTGTGTGTGTGTGTGTGTGCGTGCGTGTGTGTGTGTGTGTGTGTGTGTGTGTTCGCGTTGGCGGTGTCCTGTTCCTTCTCGCCCGTCGTTCCCCTCGCTCCCTGGCCGCGTCGTTTCTGGGCCGTGGCCTGGGACTGAGCTGTGGGAGGCCTTCGACTCTCTCTCCCCGGCGAGCCCGCCGCTGGAGGACGGCGCCCTTGCAGGCTGTCATGGTCTCTTCCCCATCAGGCGGTCCCGCTTAGGGCCAAAGAGGAGGAGGAGGAGGAGGAGGAGGAGGAGGAGGAGGAGGAGGGAGGAGGAGGAGGAGGAGGAGGAGGAGGTTGATGGCTATAGCCCCGTGCTATCCGCAGATCGTTTTACATCACTCCGGTCAGTTTGCAATCCGGGGTGACAAGCCGGGGTCGTAGGCGTTCGAGTCCAGTGCCCTCCTCTTCCTTTCCCTTCATCCCTCGTTGCTCCCCCCTCCCCTTCCCGTCTCATGCGGTGTTGGATGTTTGTGCTGGCTGCTTTCGACCGCTGCGGGGTTCAAAGCGACGCCGCGTCTCGTTTTGACCCGTTTTACCAGGCAACCCTTGACAACTACAGTGCCCATTTTCTCTCCTCGGCTCTTCCTCGTCGCTGCGGGTCCTGTTCCTCTTCCTTCTCTTCTGTTCATCTTGTTCGTGTCGGGACAGCCGGCGGCAGCATATCCGAACCACGTTCTGTGACATCGTTTTCCTCCCCACCCGCTTCCTTGAAGCCTGACTTGTGTCAGACAGTCTGCAGGCCTGATTGCTGCTGCACGCCTGTAGGACAGTATTTGGTCAGTCTCTTCCCACGCCTCGCGGGGTGATCCCCTCCCGTCAACTCCGCCACAGCAGCCTCAGCAGCCATCGTCCCATTGCGCGCCCTGTCGCAAGGCTTGTGTCATCAATGGAGACGACTACTCGAACTGCGCGCCGCCCGTTGACACGAAGTTCGAGGCGCGCTCTCGCTGGCCTGTGGCTTTGCTCCACCCTTCGATGCCACCCTCGCGGCGTAAGACCCCGAACGATCGTACAATGCTCTTGATGTGCCACTGGCCAAAGCTCGACCTGAACGGTGTTTGGGCGATCTCGTGGGCCGCGTTCGTTTGGATTCTGTTTTGCAGCAGCGGAGGAGCTGAGACAGAGCGAGGCACAACGACAACACGGTGAACACGGAAAGCGCCGATTCGGCCGAGCTTTTTTCACTGGCGGGAAGCCCAGGGGGGCCACCGACTTCGGGGGCGCGGGCTCCCGCACTGGGCGCTGGAACTACAGTCGGGGCGTTGACCTAAGGAACGATAAATATGAAAGAGCGTGTTCTACCGCTGCTGGAGGAAAAAAAAAACCGGGGGGGGGTCACTACCGGTTCGAACCCCTCCCCCCCCCCCCCCTCCGGAAAACCGGGGGGGGTCACTACCGGTTCGAACCCCTCCCCCCCCCCCTCCATGAAAAGGGGGGGGGGTCACTACCGGTTCGAACCCCCCCCCCCTCGAAAACCGAGTGGGGGTGCGGACAGTGGTGGGGACGGTGTTGGTGGGGACAGTGGTGAGGGGACAGCGGGACAGTGGTGGGGACAGTGGGACAGTGGTGGGGACGGTAGTGGTGGGGACAGTGGTGGGGACAATGGTGGGAACAGGGGGGACAGTGGACAGTGGTGGGGACGGTGGTGGTGGGGACAGTGGTGGTGAGGACAGTGAAAATGAGGTGGAAACAGCGGGATAGTGGAGGGTACAATGGTGGTGGGGACAGTGGTAAAGGCGCTGGCGAGGACGGCGGTGGGACAATGGGACAGAGGTACAGTGGGGACAGTGGTGGGGACAGTGGGGAAAGTGGTAGGAACAGTGGGACAGCTCAGTGGGACAGCGGAGGAGTCAGTGGGACAGTGGAGACAGTGTGGATAGGCAGTGGTTGGGTCCGTGGAGACAGTGGGGAGAGTGGAACCGTGGTGGGAACAGTGGTGGGAACAGTGGGGACAGTGCGACAGAGGTGGGGGCACTGGTGTGGACAATAGGGACGGTGGCGGAACCAGTGGGGACAGTGGTGGTGAGGACAGTGGTGCTGGGAACAACAGTGGGGGATGTGATGCGAGCGGTGGTAGGGACCGGGAGTCGTTTGCTGGCGGTGCGTGGGGGGGGGGGGTCGAACCGGTAGTGACCCCCCTCCGGTTTTCGAGGGGGGGGGGGGGTTCCAACCGGTAGTGACCCCTCCCGGTTTTCCGGATCCGGAGGGGGGGGGAGGGGTTCGAACTGGTAGTGACCCCTCCCGGTTTTCGAGGGGGAGGGGGGGGGGAGGGGTTAGGGGAGGGGGGGGCTTTGCCGGGGGGGAAGGGGGGGGGGTCCAGCAGGGGAGGGGGGGATTTTCGGAGGGGGGGAGGGGGGGGAGACCCCGGGCTCCGGAGGAAAAGGTTGACAATTTTCCACAGTAAAGCGGCGGTGGATCACGCTCTCTCATAAATAAGGAACGAGGCCCGTTTTTCCCATAAGTTAAACTCCGATTTTCCATGGAAAACCAAGGGAAAACCCAAGGAGCGCTGTAAAACAACTAAGGAACACGGAGCCCCTCCCCAACGAAAAGGGTTCCGTCCTCAGGGCCCCGACTGTACTCCTAAGACCGCTACAGACCCGCAGTCTGGAAACTTACCAGCACGAGTGACGGGCCCGAGGCTCTGTCTTCTGCGGCTCTGTCTTCTACGCCGTCGGCAGCCGACAAAAAACGGGGCAGCAGCATGAGCACTGACACTCGGAGGTCCGCGCGGATTTCGTAGGCCAGCGCGGGGCCCCCAGTCCCACGCCTCTTCCCGGGCACACGGGGTGCGCCAAAGGCGGCCGCCGGAGGCGCCGCCAGAGGCGTGGTCATAGGAAGGGGGGGGGAAAGCACGAACAAGCGCGAACCATCACAGGTGTGTGCATGTGCGTTCATGCTTTGTTTCCGATCCGCAAATGTCAGAATCTCAGGCGTGACCAGATGTGTCACATGTCTTGCACCTTGCGCAGCAAGACGTCGGCGTTGCGAAAGTCCCGTGATGGAAATGCAACGCAGGACCTCCACAATTGAGGCTCCGTTGTGCAAGTGCGCGGGCCGGATTTTGGAACATTTTGTTTATGTCGGGATCTTGCGGCGCCCCGAAATGAAATTACAGTGTTATTTGCTGGGGGCAATTTCGGAATCCTGGATCGGAGCAGAGTCGTCATCTTGTCAGGACTCTAGGGGGGGCGGAGGGCGGGTGGTGGCGGGTCTGACTGCTCGGGGGAATCGTCTGGAAACGGTTGCTCCTGGCGCGCGCAGGCGCGCCCCGCGCGTGTGCCCAGCAGTCGTCTGGACAGACTGTAACGGCGCAGTGTGCATTTAGCTCGCTCGTTGTCTGATTACCAGTAGCGCTGTCTTTTGCCACCCATTGCTGACTAGCCCGTGGTGGTTCGGACTGATTTCTGATAGCGGTTCATTTGGAGCGGAGTTCGCCCATGTGCGAGAGAGAGAGGGAGATGAAGGAACGAAGTGAGTTATAGAGTGAGTTGGTGAGAGAACACCACATATAAGAAATTAGATATTAGAGAGTTAGTGAGACAGCGAGAGAGTGAGAGAGATAGAGATAGAAGAGAGAGTTACTGAGACAACATAATGTATAAAGTGTGTAAATACGTAGCACCCCGCAATTGAGGATAAAAGCGAGGGGGCGGGCGCGGGCGACGCCGGCGTCGAGCCAGCGGACCTCGTGGCCCTCACCTTCCATGTCGATAGCACCCTCCTCCTCCTCCTCCTCCTCCTCCTCCTCTTCCTCCTCCTCGTCCTCCTTGAAGAGGTCTTCGGGGGGCTCAGACGGCATGCAAAATCTCCCGCCGCGCTTGTGCGGCACTGGCGTGCTGTGTGGTAGGCTTCGTGGACGCCCCCTCAGGAGGGTCCTTGAGCGCCCCGAGGCCCCTTAATTGTGGGCGCCTTGAGGCAGCTCCCCCTGACCCCAGGCTTTGGGCACGGATGCCGAATTGCAGCAGGCAGTTGGATTGTCAATGAACGTGTTCAGACACAGTCCCGCCGCGGGCGCCGATGTGCTGTTGTAGAGTCAGCGTGGGCCGGATCGGGGGAATGGCACGAGGGCGCTTGCGCAAACCAATGCGAGCAAGCCCGCCGCAGGCGCCGATTTGCGTGTTCTGACAAGTTCAGCGCGGGACGCATGCAAGAACAGCCCGCCGCAGGCGCCGAATCTTTGGCTTTTTCACTGAACGTAGTTTGGGTCGCGGGGGGGTCGCGGGCTCTCCACCTCCACTTGGAAGGAATTCAAAATCATCCCGCCACAGGCGCCGAATTTTTGGATTTGTGCATTGAACGCGATTTGGGTCGCAGGTTCTCCACCTGGAACGACTGCAAAAGAACCCCGCCGCAGGCGCCGAAGTTTTGGCTTTTTCAGTGAACGTAGTTTGGGTTGCGGGTGCGTCGCGGGCGGGTCACCGGGGGGGTCTCGGGGTGGGTCGCGGGCGGGTCGCGGAGTGGATCGCGGGTGGGTCGCGGGTGGGTCGCGGGTGGGTCGCGGGGTGGGTCGCGGGTGGGTCGCGGGGTGGGTCGCGGATGGGTCGCGGGTGGGTCGCGGGGTGGGTCGCGGGTGGGTCGCGGGGCGGGTCGCGGGTGGGACGGCGACAACAACAAACAACAGACAACTAACAACAAACAACACATAACAAACAACAAACAACAAACAACAAACAACAAACAACAAGCAACAAGCAACAAACAACAAACAACAAACATCAACAACAACAACAACAACAACACTAATCCGCATCGCGGAATTCCACTTCAGTCACGCATCCAGGGCCAGTGAATGACCGTTCGGTTCAGCCCCTTCACTTTTGATGTTTATATACAATGTTTTTATACACCTACATAGGCACATACGTACATCTATACATACACATACATTTGCGAACATGTAGTTATACATATATGTGCATGTATCTATACACATAGAGGAGTGGGACAACCGTTATGAAGCGCCAGACCAGCCAACCACGCAGGGATGGGTGGGGAAGCGCGAGGACATGAAGCGACACGATATAGTGATACATACACATGTACTGTGGTGTTCATATATACACATACACATCTCACTTGTCTATCCATTTTTATACATATACATATGCATGTTCAGTTACATGTACATCTACACATACACCTACACAATCATATGCATATGCACATGCATGTCCATATGCATATACGCATACAAATACATACACCTATACACATACGTATATTAATACACATATATGTATATATATATATGTATACATGCATGTATCAAGTTGCAGTTACATTGGCATTTACATGTCCATGTACATATACATATACACATACATATGCATACACGTATGCATGTACACATGCACATGTATCAATAGGTCTCCGCACGAACCATGAGCCCCCCTTTCCTTTCGGAAGATGACCAGAGGAAAGATGCGGTTCAGGCGCGTGCGCCGGTCGTAGAGGCGGAGGTTTCGGAGAGAGTTGGCGCATGCTGGGGGGGGCAAAGGGTGTTGAGTATTGAGTGCGGTGTTGAAGACGGAGGGTAGCACCGTGCCCCAGATAAGCGCAGGGGGGACAATAACGTTCGGGGCCGCGGGGGATAATCAAAGATTGTCCCGGCAGGGTCAGCACAACGGATGTTGAGGAGGGGGTCTGAGGGTGTTCCTCCCTTTTCGTCTTTCTCCTCCTCCTCCTCCTCCTCCTTCCCCTTGTTTTTCGTAGCTCGTTTTCCTCGGGGGCACTTGGGTGGCGGTTTCTGTAGCTCGAGCGGGCGTCGAATACGCTGTACTGGGTGGTGGCTGACGCATGCCACTGGGGCCTGCGGTGAAGCCCCCATATGGGGCCACGAAGCGCTGTGCTGGGTGGTGGCTGACGCATGCGGGCGGTGCCACTGGGGCCGTCGGTGGAGCTCCCTATGGGGCCACGAAGCGCTGTGCTGGGTG